ATATATATATATATATTCCATACATTTTAGTATTGAATGAGCATATAAAGAACAATTTTACAAATTTTGTTAATAAGAGAAATTTCAATATTATTTCACCTATATAGAAACAAGAAGAAAGAAATTCCTACATTAGAACTATTGATTAACCCAATTAACAAGAAATTTGCATATACAATACAAGTACTCATACAATTAAAAATGAATATGAGATAACTTTGACTTTGTAGAACCCAACAAACCAATCCTAAAATTAACACCTACGCTTTATAGACGTCTCCAAATGATCCTTGCCCAATAAGCTCCAACGAACTAAATCTTGTTCCTGATGCCTCAACAAGATTTGCCACATCAGTCATTCTCAAGAACAATTCCTCAAAGCCTCACACATTCACCTGAAACACCAAAGTACACAACTCAGAGACACACATGCTGAAAATCACACATCTTCAATCCCTCCACATTCTCCAAATTCCACCAATTAAAATGAAATCAAAAACCAAACATACACATTATTAGAAAATAACATATTAGAAAATAACATCATTGAGCACCAAATCAAATTAATCAAATAAAAATCCAAACTTGTAGATAATTACACAACCCCCAATTCAACCGTGACTCAATTTTTGGGGAGAAATTAATGAAAGAATCAAAACAATTAAGAATAAAGGCACAATATAGTGGAAACTGATGGAATGAAATCAAAACATGTGAGCCTGGTGAAGTAGTGCAATAATTATTAGGTGGAATTTAGGATGCAAGTTTTTCTTAATTTAAAACAAAAATGGCATTGGAATTTGGTTCACGGTGAAGAAAAAGAAAGGAAAGAGAAAAAGAAACACCCAAATCAACATTTGACGGAATGTGACATTATAATAAGATGGAAACTCACTTGTGAATACGATTTGGGTTAGTGGCAGTTTAAGGGACAGATCTGTGTTGCTTAATGTCATTATCTCTCTTCTTATGTTTTGGATTTGGCGTGATTTGTGTATAAATGCCGATGATTAGGAAGAAGGGAGGGCTATACAAGTTTCACACCTTTTTTGTTTATATAAAAAAAAATTAGTACTTTTTGTATGAAATTATACAAAAAAGATGACATTGTAAGATTAGTTTTTGAGATTAATTTAGTCACCAACATTTTGTATGAGAAAATTTAGATATTTATTTAGTAATTATATTCTTTATTTTCAATTTTTTAAAGATTTATTAGGAGACGTCAAGTTTGTAGTAATAAAATATAAATTTGTTGTATTTAAATTGATTTTGTATCTTAAGTCACAAATTTAGAATACTAGGTCATTGTATTAAAAAAAAAATATACTAAATCATTGGCTCTACAAGTGCATAGTAAATTTTGTAGAACATTTTTATTATTATTTAAAATTCATTAGAAACTACAAATTTATATGAAATATTCATTAATTATAAAATGACACTTGTGAAAATTTGTAATTTAAAAAAAAAATTGTATTAAAAAGTAAATTATAAAATGTATTGATACAATTTCTTGCTTAGAGATTGTTTTAGAAATTACAAATTTTAGAAAATTCATGTAGTCAAATTTGAAGTAAGGAATATAAAGTTGCTTTAATTAGATTTAGGGTTTGTTTGGATAAATTTTTCTATAAACACTTTTAAGAAGTAAAAATAAAAAAGAAAAATTAAATAAGTTTCTCTATAAGTTAAAATTAATTTATATATAAATTAAAAAAATAAGATTTTAGAGAATCTAATAAGAGAGAGTTTCTATACATTAACTTAGGCATAAAACTAATTCTATAAGCTAATTTTAATTTATAGAGAAATTTATTTCATTTTTTCCTTCATATTTTTCTCTTCAAAAGGTGTTTCAGCAAAAGTTTATCTAAACAAATCCTTAACCTTGTATAAAGATGTATATACACATAATTCATAACATACACAATTTTATATATGGCAGCATGTTTTTTCTCTTATAAAATATAATTTATAATTTTAGAGAGACAAATTTCAAGTTTTAACATTTAGGTGGCAACAAATAATTCTATAGATGTCATTTTTGAAAATCATTTGGACATTGTTAACACATGAAACAATTTATTGTTTTCTTATGTTTTTAGTCTCTCAGATTTAGGATAAATTTATTTTTGGTCCCTCAAATTTAAAATTATTATTTTTAATCCCTATAATTTCAAAAAATCTTATTTTAGTCCTTATATTCAAATTTTATTTAGAAATTTATCAAATATTATTACATAAAATCTACCTATTAGTGTTCTTATTAGTAAAAACATCACATTAAATCCAATTGATATTATTTAACCATCTTAATTTATCATTTTCAAATATGTTATTGGTAACCTAAGGGACTAAAACAATATTTTCAAAAATTTCAGGGACCAAAAACAATAGTTTTAAATTTGAAAGACCAAAAATAAATTTGTCTTAAATTTGAGGGACTAAAAACATATTTAAACTTAAAAAAATATTTAGATTCCTAAAAATTATAAAGATTTTCATATTATTTAATTTGAGAAAAATGGAATAAAATTAAAAAGAGAGATAGAATAAAAAATAAAGACATCCTCCATCCTCAACTTTAATCCCTTCAATTTAATTATTCAAGAAAATTTAAAGAGAAAAGAATTCAAGCTTAAAAAATATAAAGTATATTTACAGAATTCAAGCTCTTGGTAATTCACCCTTTTTCATAACAAATCACCTTTTTTTCAAATCAAGTGTATTGACAATTTAAATTTTTTTACAAAATGAATAAACAACCTTAGTATATATTCAAAGACCACAAGAAAAATTTCTTTTAGAGACTGAAAATTTGGTCTCTAAATTAAGATATTCAGTCTCTAAATGATTAGAGACTATATTAGAAATTGAATGCTAGCTAAACTGTTAGTCGCTAATTTTGGAGACCAATTTTACACACTAAGAAACCAATTTAATTAGTGACTCATATTATAGTAGTTGATTTAGTGACTGGTATTTTAGCTACCAAATAAGTGACGGATATTATAACAACCAATTAAGAGACCAATTTTATAGCATTTAATTAAGAGATTGATTTTATAGTGACCAATATGTTAACATATTATATAGCAACCGATTCAGCAACATATTTATAATGACTAATGTAGAAACTGATTTTGTGACGAAAACATCAGTCTGCAAATTGATCTCTAAATTATAAATTTCTAGTACCAAACAACTTGTGATTTCTTTTGTATCCACCTAATTTTTTTAAAACCAATTTATCCATTTCTGCAATTTTTTCTATTTTTTTATAGATAATATTCATCGAAAGTTCACTTCTTGATTATATATATAAAATTATCCAAGAATATTCATCTCATTTCACTATACAATTGATAAAGATTAAAAATTCCCACTAACATCAAAGTCAAAATTGACATGTCAAGAGATAATTAAAATCATAATTCATCTCAATAGAATACAATCGTGTAATTAAATTTGAAAGGAGGTAAAGTGAAATGAAAAAAATCACTAAATACATACTATGTATAAGTTCAGAGGACTTAAATACAACTAGAAAATCTTTGTTTCCTTTACCTTCTATATATACTTCTTAAGGTTCACAAATGAATGAGACTACGAGAGTTCCTTGAATATTGTAATGCCTTGTAATTGCCTCTTTTAGTTTATCAATAGATTAAGAGTGAGATAGGAAAACATTGTAATTCAACAAAAATACTACTAAGCAAGGATTATATCATGACAACTATGAGCCAAAATATCAAATTATATAAAGATAGTTGCAATTCAAGATGTTAAGCATACAAATATTCGTCAATATTGAGCAAAACCTAACAAAATAAGACTAGGTGATTACAAAAATTAAAGAAATGATAGTTCTAAATTTTCTCATCCAATTTATTTTAATTTTACATTTTTTAGTGTTAGATTTTCCTAGTAAAAATTAAGACATTTCATATGAGAACTCAAGTTTTCATGAGTTGCTTACTTTAACTATCATAATATGATTCATCTCATCCTGACATGATCAACTTTTAAAGGTCCCTACTGGTGGGTATCAATGTAGCTAAAGAACACTATGTAACAAGGCAGAACATGATAAAAGAGTCATTAGCAGAGAAAGAGAGTGAGGAGCACGTGGAGGAAGGGAAATTGAGGGCCAGGAAGGGCTCTCGGCCCAAAATAACTAACACCAAATTGAAGGATTATCATTGGCTGAAGGAATAATATAAAAGGGGCCGTTAGAAGAGAGAGAGTGTGTGGAAGGAAATTGTGGATGATCCGTTCTCTCTTGGGATCTTTCTTGTTTTCATCATTATATTTGCTATAATTTCTTATTTTCTGCATATTCCACTGACGTTGTTTTGCAACATTGATAATTTCGTAATGAGGATGAAATTCAGTACCATTTGATTTCTCTTACTGTTATATTCCAATTTTTCTTGATTGTTACCTCATTACATTGGTGCTTTCATCTCGTCATGGCGGAAAATACACGCATGAAGGAACTCACAGCGGACGTCAAGCGGATTCTAGAAATAATGGAATCACGTGAGAAGGAGCATGCTGCTCGTTTTGAAACGTTAGAGACGACGATGGAGATGGTACTCAAACAACATTCGAGTACGGAATCTGCTTCGTCAAACAATGGGCATAATCAACCATTTCAGGTTAGGAGCGTTAAGCTTGATTTTCCCCGATTTGATGGATCTGAGGTTCTGCAATGGATATTCAAGGCCGAACAGTTTTTCAGCTATTATCGAACCCCTGATGACCAACGTTTACTTATTGCATCGATTCATTTGGATAAAGATGTTGTTCCCTGGTATCAAATGATGATTCGTGAACATCCCTTTCATTCTTGGATTGCTTTTACCAGAGCTTTGGAAATGGAATTTGGTCCTTCTCCGTATGAGGGCCCGAGATCACAGTTGTTTAAACTCACGCAAACTAACTCAGTTCAAGCTTATTACGTGCAATTTACAGCACTTGCCAATCGGGTGCAGGGAGTTACTCAGGAGGCGCTCTTGGATTGCTTTGTTGGAGGTTTGAAGCCTGACATTCGAAGGGATGTTATTGCCCAATCACCACCTTCTCTCCTCAGAACTGTTTCATTGGCCAAACTATACGAAGAAAAATATACCATTAAACCTAAACCATTCTCTTCCAGTTTTTTTCAAAAAAATCAAACCACAAACACAAACCAAACCACCCCTCAATCCCTAAAATCCACCAGCTTACCCCCACTTTTACCTTCCCCAGATTCTAAGCCAACCTATGTCAAAAAGTTGACCTCTGCTGAAATGCAATTAAGAAGGGATAAGGGCATTTGTTTCACTTGTGATGACAAATTTTCTCCTAACCACAGATGTCCTAACAAACAGTATTTTGTTCTACAATGGGAAGAAGATGACGAACCTGAATTGCAACCTGAGCCACCTGATGTAATAGAAGCAGTCATGGGTACAGGTTCTCAAGACCATCATTTGTCCTATAATGCATTAAATGGCTCTTCAGGCCTAGGGACAATGAAATTCCAGGGGTCAATTAATGGGGTCAGAGTCCAAATATTATTAGACAGTGGAAGTTCAGATAACTTTCTACAGCCGAGAATAGCCCAATGTCTAAAAATACCAGTGGAACCAATTCCCAACTTACAGGTTTTGGTTGGTAATGGAAATTCACTAGTTGCTGAAGGACTGATTCGGGACCTGGGGGTGCGAATCCAGGGTCATACATTGAAGCTACCAGTGTATTTGTTACCAGTTTCGGGTGCTGATTTGGTGTTAGGTGCCGCATGGTTA